CATTTAGAACTTTGCATTTGTCTATATTAAACTGCATCTGCCACTTCTCCGACCACTACATCAATCTATTCAAATCTTCCTGGAGTGCTCTAATGTTCTTGTCAGAATGAATTCGACGGCCTATTTTGGTGTCATCGGCAAACTTGCTTATGTCACTCGTTATGCCCTCATCTGTGTCGTTTATGTAGATTGTGAACAGCAGGGGGTCCAACACTGACCCCTGTGGAACACCGCTCATGATGCTTCCCCACTTTGATTTCTCCCCATTTATGCAAACTTTCTGCTGCCTATTTGTCAACCATGCCTCTATCCAGGAAAAAATTTCTCCTATTCCATGTGCCTTAATTTTCCTCAATAGTCTCTGATGTGGGACCCTGTCAAGAGCCTTACTGAAGTCCATATACACAATATCATATTCATTACCATGATAATGGTAATAAATAATGAATCCTGTGATGCTCCAGTACTGAAACTATGTACTGTGCCAAAACAAAAGCAACGGGCTGGAGTTTTGAGACTCTATGACCGCGGGTTCAATCCCGGCCGGGGGTATGGTTCAAAAGCATTCACATGCTAAACTCACAAACTAGTATTTAGTCACTTAGCCATAATACCAACTTGCCTCATAATTTGTAATATTTTAAAATTAAGACTGTATAGTCCTTGTGGCTTAGCGCTTCTTTTTGATTATAATAATAATAATTAAAATTAAGAATTAAACTAAGTCTGCCCGAAATGCCTAGCCATGCTGGTGTTCTAGTGGTACACTGTAATCATTATATAACTACATGTAAACCACACAATAACCAAATTCTGTAAACTCAGCATTGTAATCCTTATAGAGAATAAACTTTGAATTGAATTGATCTACCTCCTCAAATACCTTAGTGAAAAAAGTTAATAAATTCGTAAGGCAGGAACGCCCCTTTGTAAAACCATGCTGAGATTCGTTGATTAATTTATGCTTTTCAAGGTGGCTACGAACTGCCTCGGCAATTATTGATTACATAAATTTTCCCACTGTGGAGGTTAGGCTTATTGGTCTATAGTTCGAAGCTAAGGACCTGTCACCTGCTCTGAAAATAGGTATCACATTTGCCATTTTCCACTTATCTGGCACCATGCCAGTTTGTAGTGATATGTTGAAAAGATTAGCCAAAGGTTTGCTAAGCTCCTCTTTACATTCCTTTAGAACCCTTGCATACAGTTCATCAGGGCCTGGGGATTTGTTAGGTTTTAATTTATCTATTTGTCTAAGGACCATGTCACTTGTGACCCGAAACTTTTTCTAATAAATATGTCAGAGTTTGCTTACGTGTCTTTCTAAACCAACTTGTCGGTATTAATTACCAAGGTTTTTTTTTTTATTAACACTGGCCGATTCATACCAAGGCAGGGTGGCACAAAAAAAAAAAACTTTTGCCATCATTAACTCCATCACTGTCTTGCCAGAAGGGTGCTTTACACTACAGTTTTTAAACTGCAACATTAACACCTCTCCTTCAGAGTGCAGGCACTGTACTTCCCATCTCCAGGACTCAAGTCTGGCCTGCCGGTTTTCCTGAATCCCTTCATAAATGTTACTTTGCTCACACTCCAACAGCACGTCAAGTATTAAAAAACTATTCGTCTCCATTCACTGCTATCAAACATGCTCACGCATGCCCGCTGGAAATCCAAGCCCCTCGCACACAAAACCACCTTTACCCCCTCCCTCTAACCTTTCCTAGGCTGACCCCTATCCCGCCTTCCTTCCACTACAGACCGATACACTCTTGAAGTCATTCTGTTTCGCCCCATTCTCTCTACATGTCCGAACCACCTCAACAACCCTTCCTCAGCCCTCTGGACAACAATTTTGGCAATCCCGCACCTCCTCCTAACTTCCAGACTACGCATTCTCTGCATTATATTCACACCACACATTGCCCTGAGACATGACACCTCCACTGCCTCCAGCCTTCTCGCTGCAACATTCAACGCCCATGCTTCACACCCATACAGGAGCGTTGGTAAAACTATACTCTCATACAATCCCCTCTTTGCTTCCAAGGACAAAGTTCTTTGTCTCCACAGACTCCTAAGTGCACCGCTCACCCTTTTCCCCTTATCAATTCTGTGATTCACCTCATCTTTCATGGACCCATCCGCTGACACGTCCACTCTCAAATATCTGAATACATTCACCTCCTCCATACTATCTCTCCAATCTGATATCCAATCTTTCATCACCTAATTTTTTTGTTATCCTCATAGCCTTACTCTTTCCTGTATTCACTTTCAATTTTCTTCTTTTACATACCCTACCAAATTCATCCACCAACCTCTACAACTTCTCTTCAGAATCACCCAAGAGCATTGTCATCAGCAAAGAGCAACTGTGACAACTCCCACTTTGTATGATTCTTTATCTTTTCACTCCACACCTCTTGGCAAGACCCTCGCATTTGCTTCTCTTACAATCCCATCTATAAATATATTAAACAACCACGGTGACATCACACATCCTTGTCTAAGGCCTACTTTTACTGGGAAATAATCTCCCTCTTTCCTACATACTCTAACTTGAGCCTCACTATCCTTGTAAAAACTCTTCACTGCTTTCAGTAACCTACCTCCTACACCATACATCTGCCACATTGCCCCCCTATCCACCTTGTCATATGCCTTTTTCAAATCCATAAATGCCACAAAAACCTCTTTAGCCTTATCTAAATACTGTCCACTTACATGTTTCACTGTAAACACCTGGTCCACACACCCCCTACCTTTCTTAAAGCCTCCTTGTTCATCTGCTATCCTATTCTCCGTCTTACTCTTAATTCTTTTAATAATAACTCTACCATACACTTTACCAGGTATACTCAACAGACTTATCCCCCTATAATTTTTGCACTCTCTTTTGTCCCCTTTGCCTTTATACAAAGGAACTATGCATGCTCTCTGCCAATCCCTAGGTACCTTACCCTCTTCCATACATTTATTAAATAATAACACCAACCACTCCAAAACTATATCCCCACCTGCTTTTAACGTTTCTATCTTTATCCCATCAATCCCGGCTGCCTTACCCCTTTACATTTTACCTACTGCCTCACGAACTCTTCCCCCCCCCCCCCCCTACTCTCAACTGGCTCTTCCTCACTCCTACAAGATGTTATTCCTCCGTGCCCTATACATGAAATCACAGCTTCCCTTTCTTCATCATTCAACAATTCCTCAATATTCCCTCCATCTTCCCAATACTTCTAACTCTCCATTTAATAACTCTCCTCTCCTATTTTTAACTGACAAATCCATTTGTTCTCTAGGCTTCCTTAACTTGTTAATCTCACTCCAAAACTTTCTTATTTTCAACAAAATTTGTTGATAACATCTCACCCACTCTCTCATTTGCTCTCTTTTTACATTGCTTCACCACTCTCTTAACCTCTCTTTTTCTCCATATACTCTTTCCTCCTTGCATCACTTCTACTTTGTAAAAATTTCTCATATGCTAACCTTTTCTCCCTTCTACTCTCTTTACATCATTCCACCAAGGTTTATACCATTTATCTAGCATGTTTTTTAAAACTACACAATGTTTTAACCTTTATAATTGTACAGGGAAGTTTGTTTCACTCATCCACAACTGTTACCAAACCAGTGCGTTCCTATAACCTTCCTGAATCTGAATTTTTTCCAGCTTAAAGCCGTTGCTTGAAGTCCTGTCCAGGCTAGATATTTTTAGCAAGCTATTTACATCCAATTTATTTTTGTCTTCCATTTATACACCTCAATCATATCCTCCCTAATTCTACGCCTTTCTAGAGAGTGCAGAGTTAGGGCCCTCAGTCTACCCTCATAGGGAAGATTTCTGATGAAGATTGAGACACTTATGCAGCATATGGGAATCTTTATTCAGGAAACGTTTCGCCACACAGTGGCTTCATCAGTCCAATACAAAGAGGAAGGCGTAAGGAGAGGAGGAGTATGAGGTAATCAGTCCCTCAGCCTGGAGTCGATGTTTTCAGTCCATCAATCTACAAGATTCTACAAGATTGATGGACTGAAAACATCGACTCCAGGCTGAGGGACTGATTACCTCATACTCCTCCTCTCCTTACGCCTTCCTCTTTGTATTGGACTGATGAAGCCACTGTGTGGCGAAACGTTTCCTGAATAAAGATTCCCATATGCTGCATAAGTGTCTCAATCTTCAACTTGTAGGTTTTTCAAACCATTCGTCACAAGATTTCTGATACACGGGATCAACTTTGTCATCCTCCTTTGTACGTCGTTTTCCAAAGCATTTATATCCATTCTGTAATATGGTGACCAAAACTGTGCAGCACAATCTAGATGAGGCCCTACCAAGGATATGCTTCTTGATATGAAGCCAACGATTCTGTTAGCTTTATTGTGTGAACACTTATGGATAGTTGTCTGGGTTTTAGATTACTGCTAACCAGAACTCCCAAATCCTTTTCGCAATCAGTAATATTAAGATCTACATTTAGTTTATATGTGGCATGGTTATTTTCTTGTCCAATGTTTAGAACTGCATTTGTCTATTAAATTAAACTGCATCTGCCACTTCACTTAATTCTGTCTCTTTTCCATGTTTCAGCTATCCATAAATTTCCATACACTACTTGATATTCATATACAATTTTGTATTAATTCAAGTAACTAGTATCACTTGCCCTGCCTAAAGATTGCAATTATGTGTTTATTATATGTCTTGAAATTTTAGTTGAGTAGTTACATTTAGCCAACAGCAAATTTTTTACTAAAACTTGTATCAAATTGCTTGCAGAAAGTACAGTAGTGGTTATAAGATTATTTTAAGGTTGCCTGAAAATGTTCTGCACATCCAGGGGCTTTCAGTAAAGTATGTCTACATACTTAGCTTTTCTGAAAGACCTGTAAACCATACATTCTAGAAATAAACATCATTATCAACTGTATATATACACCCTGTTTAAATTTATTTCATTTTTATCTTTTGATTTGTCTTAATTCTTTCATATATAATACAGGTGAAATGTCTGAGCTTGGCAGAAATTCAAAAGATCAGAAAAGTTGTGCAGTTGGCCATTATTTGCGTACCTTGGATGATTCCGAGGTTGAGTGTTTGCTTCGCCAAGATTCACGTGGCCTAATTGGAGAATTTCAACGTGAAAAACTAGAGAAAGAGGCTGCTAAGAATTGGGATAAATTTTACAAACGCAATGAAACTAGGTGTGTTCTATTTTGTTTTCCATTCCCTTTGTTTTAAGGGTTTTCCCTAGCTGAAAGATATTAGATAATTAAAATATGTAATTTTTTATATTTGCTTTTGAACTGTGCCATAACCGGCATTAATTTTATAGGTTCTTCAAGGATCGTCATTGGACCACTAAAGAGTTTAAAGAACTAATTGGGGATGGGGAAACCACAAGAACCTTATTAGAAGTAAGTATCATTGAAAGAGTAAATTCATCTTGTATGATTGTTGTCTGTAAAGATGCCCATTTGTAGAGTGGATGCTTTGATACTGATGATCTCGTGATGCAAAGACTTGGAGCTAGCCATCCCTTCCTTTTTTCAAACCTATTTGGAGTACAGGTAGTAGGTAGGTAAATATTAACTTTGGTATTGCTGTCCTGTCTTGGACAAGCAACCCTTAATTGTTTTTGCACTGACAGGATTGCTTAAAATGTTGGGTAAATCTGGCACACTATTGCAGTACAGGTACCATCCGACTTACGACCAAGTTTAGTTCCGACCATCCGGTCATAAGTCGAAATGGACGTAAGTCGAACCTTACTACTGAATATCAACGTTACACTTTTGTAATGATTTTATTTTATTGTTTTATTTTGACATTTCCTTTTTTACTTGACTTTTTATGCTGTTAGTACTGTATTTTATACCGTAAGGTTTAGGATAAACAGTGTACAACAGTTGTTTATTTCCCAGAAATTTTGCATAAAAAACACGGTCGTAAGTCGAATGTTAGGTGTACTTTCCTTCAGTATGCACACGCCTTTACTTTCCTTGTGTGCTTTGTTATAGTTCTTTATCTTAATATTTTGAAGGAAAAAATAAACCTCAGAATGACCTGACATATCTCTTTTTAATGGGTGTAGTTATTACTTGTGGTTAGAGTAGGTGGGTGGGGGGATTTTCTTTGCCTCAGTAGTGGCATTCTAAGTATTTTTCTAGTGTCCAGATTATGCTGTGTTAATCAATTTACCTTCTAATTTACATCTCTGAAAGTCGGGCTAGCTAGTTTCCACAAGTCCTCATAGATTCTACCACTATTTTTAGGTATATTGTGACTAACTTGAACAAGTCACATTGGGTCTACCTGGAGGGCATTCTGGGGATCAGTGCCCCTGTGGCCCAGTCTGTGACCATGGCAACTTCATACCCAAGCTTTTAGATAGACCCTGAAACACCTGCCTGGATATATATTTTTTCATCCGAAGATATTGGCACAAAGGCTTCTAGAAAGTAGCTTGGCAAGTGCACTATCTATTTACAAATTCCTGTGGAAATAGATAATGAGGACAATGTTTCCAACATGCTGTATTATGAAGTCTTGCTTTTCTCAGGTTGGCTGTGGTGTAGGAAATTTCTTGTATCCACTACTAGAAGAAGGCTTGAACCTCTTCATCTATGCTTGTGACTTTTCACCCCGTGCTGTTCAGTTCGTCAAAAGTCACCGTCACTATGACAAGTCAAAGATTGAAGTCTTTCAGTGTGATATAACAAAGGTAATTTTTTACCCCTTGCATAACTTGTAAATTTTTTGATCTATGATTTTTATATATATATAATCTATCTTGTATGATATGTGAAAAGCCTTTCTTTGCAGGAAGACTTGAGCAGTAAATTAAGCAGTGAAGTGGACATAATAAGTGCAATATTTGTTCTTTCTGCAATACATCCAGAAAAGTTGAAGGATGTTGTGTGCAATTTGTATCATTGCTTGCGACCAGGAGGAATGGTGTTGGTTCGGGATTATGGATTATACGATATGGCCATGTTTAGGTTTGGCCCTGGAAGTAAATTAGGCGAACGTTTTTATGTTCGTCAGGATGGCACAAGGTAAGTTCTTTTGAGGGTAAAGGGGTGTGTGGAAAGTGATGTCGCAGGAGAATTCCTGCATAAGTGTACTATGCTGCAACCCTTATTCTATTTATTTCCAGATAATTATGTAAATGCTCTGAAATTTTTGTAGGTAGAAGTTTCAATATCAAAACATTTTGTACTGAAAGGATTGCTCTTTTTTTTTTTTTTTATCTTTAGTAAAACTTGACCCCTTGCCTAACATTTATTCTTCATGTAGTGAGTTGTTTTGGCCTTAACTTCTGGTATGTTCAAAATAGGCATCCCTAAAGGGGGTTTCATCAGAAGGTTGCCCGAATTTATATTGCTCGCAATTTTTTCTTGGCCCTGTTAAAATGCAATGGGTTGTAACCACCCCTTCTGAGCTTTTCACCAACTGCACATTACTGGTCTTTAAATATTTAGTTGTATTATGTCTATAGTTATTGTTACATAGATTAGGTCAACAAATCTCAGCATAGTTTTAAAAAGGGGAGTTCCTGCCTTACGAATTTATTAACTTTTTTTCACTAAGGTATTTGAGGAGGTAGATCATGGTAATGAATATATATTATGTGGAGGCAGTTGGATAGTCTCAGGCCCCTGACGCTTACTGTATTGTCTCTTAACGTGCTAGTGACACCCCTGCTTTTCATTGGGGGGATGTTGCATCGTCTGCCGAGTCTTTTGCTTTCGTTGCGAATGATTTTCGTGTGCAAGTTCAGTACTAGTCCCTCTAGGATTTTCTAGGTGTGTATAATTGTGTATCTCTCCTGCCTGCGTTCCAGGGAGTACAGGTTCAGGAACTTCAAGTGCTCCCGGTAATTGAGGTGTTTTATCTCCGTTACACACGCTGTGAAGTTTCTCTGTACATTCTCTAGGTCAGCAATTTCACCTGCCTTGAAAGGTGCTGCACACTAACAGCCCCTTTCAAGGCAGGTGAAGTTGCTGACCTAGAAAATGTACAGAGAACCTTCACGGCACGCATAACGGAGATAAAACATCTCAATTACTGGGAACGCTTGAAGTTCCTGAACCTGTACTCCCTGGCGGGAGAGATGCATGATTAAATACACCTGGAAAATCACTCGCAACTAAAGCAGAAGACTGGGCAGATGATGCAACATCCCCCCAATGAAAAGCAGGGGTGTCACTAGCACATTAAGAGACAATACAATAAGTGTCAGGGGCCCGAGACTGTTCAACTGCCTCCCAGCATACATAAGGGGGATTACCAATAGACCCTTGGCTGTCTTCAAGCAGGCACTGGACAAGCACCTGAAGTCGGTACCTGATCAGCCGGGCTGTGGCTCGTACGTTGGATTGCGTGCAGCCAGCAGTAACAGCCTGGTTGATCAGGCTCTGATCCACCAGGAGGCCTGGTCACAGAATGGGCCGCGGAGGCGTTGACCCCCGGAACTCAGTCCAGGTGTATGTACTTCAATAAGGATTTTGACAGGGTCCCCTCATCAGAGACTTGAGGAAAATTAAAGTACATAGAATAGGAGGAGAAATTTTTTCCTGGGTAGAGGCATGGTTGACAAAGGGGTCAGTGTTGGGCCCCCTGTTCACAATCTACATAAACGACATTGATGAAGGCATAAAGAGTGACATAAGCAAGTTTGCCGATGATACCAAAATAGGCTATCGAATTCATTCTGACGAGGAAATTGGAGCACTCCAGGAAGATTTGAATAGACTGATGTAGTGGTCGGAGAAGTGGCAGATGCAGTTTAATATAGACAAATGCAAAGTTCTAAATGTTGGACAGGAAAATAACAATGCCACATAGAAGTAAATAATGTAGATCTTAATATTACTGATTGCAAAAAGGATTTGGGAGTTCTGATTAGCAGTAATCTGAAACCAAGACAACAGTGCATAAGTGTTCGCAATGAAGCTAATAGAATCCTTGGCTTCATATCAAGAAGCATAAATAATAGGAGTCCTCGGGTTGTTCTTCAACTCTATATATCCTTGGTTAGGTCTCATTTAGATTATGCTGCACAGTTTTGGTCACTGTATTACATGATGGATATAAATGCTCTGTAAAAAGTACAAAGGAGGATGACAAAGTTGATCCCATGTATCAGAAACCTTCCCTATGAGGATAGACTAAGGGCCCTGAATCTGTACTCTCTAGAAAGGCATAGAATTAGGGAGGATATGATTGAGGTGTATAAATGGAAGACAGGAATAAAGAGGATGTAAATAGTGTGCTGAAAATATCTAGCCTTGACAGGACTTGCAGCAATGGTTTTAAGTTGGAAAAATTCAGATTCAGGCTGGATATAGGAAAGCACTGGTTTGGTAAATAGTTGTGGATGAGTGGAACAAACTCCCGAGTACAGTTGTAGAGGCTAAAATGTTGTGTAGTTTCAAAATTAGGTTAGATAAATACGTGAGTGGGTGAGAGTTACAAATGATTAGCTTGTGCTATTAGGTCAGTTGCCATGTTCCTTAAGTGAATGTGACCTGCCCCAACTAGGTTGGGGCATTGGCTTAAGCTGGTAGGAGACTTGGACCTCCCTCGCATGTGCCAGTAGGCCTGTTGCAGTGTTCCTTCTTTCTGTGACCACGAACAAAATAAGTCCAAGTGTATGGTATATTTGTGTTATTCCTGAACAAGTCATAAATAGATTTTCTGACATTAATTTTAATTAATTTTGTTTTCACAACTAGGCTTTTTCTTTGATAATAACCATTACATATTTTGGCAAGAGTACAGCCTATGCCTCACTGTTTTGCATCCAGGATATTAATTGGAGAAGCATTGCAATGTAAATGAATCATTGGTAATATTTTTTGCTTATTTTTTCCATGTAATGTTTATTAAAAAGGTTTTGTATTTCAGGGCCTACTATTTTATGGAAAAAGAGATGCGTGTTCTATTTGAAGAAGCTGGTTTTGCAGTGTCCAGCATTGGTTATGTATCTCGCCAAACTATCAATAAAAAAGAAGGAATAAATGTGCAGAGAATTTTTGTTCAGGCAAAGTTGATAAAACCACTCAAGTGAAGTAAGTATTTTTATTGTAGATATTGCATTCAAAATCATGCTTTATATATTTGAAACAAAATTGTAAGATTGGTAGATAGTGCTGCTAAGTGCTTTTTGTGCCAAGACTATAGACATCACTTTGTGATATTGCAAATTAAAATGTGCTGGTGATATGGACATGGAGCAAGACCACAAATTATTGGTTAAAAATGGTATGCTACTACTTTTGCACTCTGATATTTGTTTTTTCAAGCAAATTGTTCCTCTGATTCAGGATTTAATGTGATGTGAAACTGAATATGATTCTATGTGATTATCTTAAATCTCTAATTTTTTTCTGATTTTTGTATATTTTTTGAAAGCTTTTATTTTAAAGTAAGTTTAGGAACTTAAGTTGTAATTTTGTCTTGCAGATAGACTCGTCGTCATGGGCTACCAGATCACTGGTATGTTGCTGCTCTTTTATATGCTGACTTTGGCAGGCAGAAAAAAACATGTATTTGTAATGAAAATAAATGGTATAAAATACCGACACAATGGAAACATAAACACACATGCAGTTTAATGTGATCCTTTATTGACAACGTTTCGCCCACACAGTGGGCTTTTTCAAGTCACAAACAGATCTGTTTGTGACTTGAAAAAGCCCACTGTGTGGGCGAAACATTGTCAATAAAGGTTCACATTAAACTGCATATGTGTTTGTTTCCATGTATTTGTAATAACCATTTTGAGTATATTAAGCCTATAAAGTATTTTTTTAACCTGCTTTTGTAGTCCCCTGTGCATCTATGTAGTGTTACAATCCTTTGAGTAGTTATTGATGCCAGGGTCCCCTGCTCTTTTTTATGGCTTTTTAATTATTTAATAAATCTGATTCAATTGGAATGCTGTAAATCATGACTGATTATTCCTGGTTAATTTTATTATCTGAGAAGTGAAGTAAATCTTTTATTTTTTTGTGATTAACTAAAATGGAAGGAAAGTGTATTTTAGATGATCTGGGGATATGATAGTTGTGTAGGCAGTTGTGCTCGGTTGATAGAATAAGTGGCTAATAATTTGGTGAATGGAGCAATGGCATTGGCTAGAGACTCATTGCAGGTTTTCTATTGGACGTTTTTTATACGAGGACAGTAATATTAATTTTGGTCCTTGAAGTCGCCATGGGACCAACAAAGATTAGTGATAACAGCCAACCAAAAAGAAAACTGGTTGGGAAGAATTTGTTCTATACTTGAATGGATCAGAGAATTAAGTTTGGGTACCCAGGTTCCACTGTACTGTTCTAGAAAGGGTTGGTGGTAATGAATATGTACAGTACATAAGATAATTTTTTTTTCAATGAACTGGTCATATCCCACAAAAATCAGGAGGACCTAACGAGCAAAACAAAGTTTTCCCTTTAAATTCAGTGTTTTATATAGAAGGGGTTACACATTAGAAATGGGTATTTAAAATGGTTACTTTACTTTTATTTCAGGATTCAGTTGTACAATGGCACTAATTGTAAGGAATAATCTTCAATAGATGAGGACCATGTAACACTAAATTAAGACTCAGTTGGGTGTCTGGTAACTAAGGTTAGTTTGTCATTGCATTGTGTTTTATTTTCATAGAAAATTTAGTATAATGCTAGACTTGCCAATTAATTTCTCTTGGCTTCTGAAAGTTACATTTTAATTATGCTTCATGTCAGTCAGTTTCCTAAATGTGACAAGAGTTGTTGTTTTAGTATAATAAAAATTACTTGTCCTAGTCTGACTTTGATTGAAAATGTGATTTATTCCATCTTTCGCCAAAAAATTTTTTTGCTGACCCCATCCCAACTTTCTAAAACCCCTTTTTTTTTTTGCTTTGTTGAGGAAACTGCTGAACTTTAAGGTTATGCCATATCCTTCAGAAAGTGTCACAAATGGACGATGGATTTTTACACCTGGGCTGGCTGCCTGCCTTTTCACACCCGGTCGGGAATTGTAAATTGCTCTTAATATTTGCTCGGGGTACTCTTACACCTTTTAAATATCATTCTCTCCTATTCTTCCACACACTGACAGAATTTGATACTAAAAGTTTGATGTCATTAAAATTGGAGAAAGGAAGAAGGGTAGGGATAAAGGGGTTGATGTGGGACTTGGCACCCAAAGGGTTTGGGGCATTTTGGGGTTGGAGGTATGTCATCAAGGAAATATCCAAGGGGATTTTAGTAAAGCTTGTTAGAAGGCCCAGATGCTAAAGGGGGATGGAGGCATTTCATTCTAAGGGTTATCAAAACTGTTATGTTAATACTCGCAAGACTGAATGAAAGGGTAAAAGTTCGTTTTTTGTCCCAGCCCTGGTGGGATTTATAACTTAAAAAAAATAAAATTAATGAAGACCCTTCCCTTTAAATTTCCTACGTTTTGTTTGCATGAAATTACTAGTATAATTTAAACTCTAAGTGAATTAATTTTTTTTTTAATCTTTATTATAAATTACACTGTATGTCTTAAAACCCTTTAAAAATGTTCCACTTACTTTGGGTTTAAAATGTTACATTACACCAATTTTGATTTTTTTTATTTTTTTTAAAGTTTAAAAATCCCTTTTTGGGTCCTTTTTAAAAAAAATTTATTTAAACCCCCTTACTGTTTCCCACTTTTAAAGGAAAAAGTGATTAAAAGGTTCTCCCTTTTCTCTTAGCTTATTTTAAAAAATTTGATTCCCCTGTAAAACACGGGAAGTAATTTTGTTTAATTTTTTTTGGGAAATTCTTTTGGATTTAATTTGAAACATTCCCCAGGAAAGGGGGGAGTCATAAGTTTTGAGAAAAGGTGGTTTTAAAAAGGAAGTTAAAGAAACCTGACATAGGGAAAGTGGGAAAACAAAACCCGTTTTTAATTTTTCCCTTTTTAGGTGTTTTTCTCAGGTGATTTATGGTTATGTTGGCTGTTCTTATTTTTATAAAAAAAAAATTTACTTTAGTATGTACGATTTTAAAGAAAAGTGCTAAATTTGGGCTAAAAATTTCAAAAAAATTTTTACAATTTTCCAAAGTGGAATTTTCCCTTTGGGCAATGGTTTGTTTTTTGTTTGCTTTTTAAAATCTGATTAAATTTTTAAAGTGGTTGGAAAACGTAAAGCCCCGTTTTCCTGTTTTATTTTTGTTTTGATTAAAAATTAAAATGATAACAGTGAATATGGAGGGCCTGGGGAGCTTAAAGAGGAAATTTTTTAAATTCACATTGTTTATTATACCTTTTTTTTTTTTAATTTGTGTAAAATTAAAAGTAACCCCTTTTACGAGGGTTAAAAGGGGGTTCCTTTGCTCCCGTAAAGGAACAATATAAAAAATATTGGAAAGTTGGTCAATGCAACTTTTTTGAAACCCTTGGTTAAAAAAATCTTTTTTGAATGTTTGTTTTTTTTAAATTCCTTTTAAACTAATTCCTTCCTTTTACATCAGCTCTAATGTGGTGTAAAATTTTAATTTAAAACTTTAAAGTTTTTTGGGGTTAATTTTACAGTTTAAATTAATAAAAAATTTTTTTTTTTACTTTTGAATTACCAAAGGGGGGTGAAATTTTGCCTTCAAGTGGTGTTTAATAAAAACGTCCTAAAAAAAAGGAAATAAATTTTTAAAAAGTTTTTTTTTTTTTATTTATTTAATAAAACAGGGAAATAATTTAAAAAAAATTTAATTTAACCCACCTAAATAAAAAAAAAAAGGGGGGTGTGGAACCAAGGTTTAGAATTTTCTGGCTTTTTTTAAATGTGAAAATTGTATTCCAAGTTTATTAATTTCCCAATTTTTTTATTAGGATAACAAAATTTGGGAAATACGACAAGGATAAATAATTTATTCCATCTTTGCCTGGTATTTTGCATATGCCCCAATATTCTAAATCTCTCCATCTTTTTTTTATAATTTTTAAAAGGCAAAATTTTTAATTACCCCAACTTTTCAAAAGTAGGCTTAACGAAGGATTTTCACATGGGTAAAATCCCCTTTCCATTAGCTAAAATCGGAAAATATCCCTTAATTTCTCATGGAAATTTTTTAATTTAAATTTCCCCTACCTTCCAAAAAGATGATATATTCTACTGGGAATTAAATAAAAAAAAAAGGTTGAGAATTTTATTTTTATGACAAAAACATTTTTTTCAACTAGATGATGGGAAGTAGTTTTCTTCTATTTAATAAGTTTTTTTGTACAATAAATAAAGATTACATTTAAACCAAGACCCTGATTTTGTTTTTTCCTTTTTTGTTACTCTTCATTTCTTCTAAAAAAAAAATTATTTCCTTCACCTTTTCCATGATGCCCTTGAAAAAGATTTCCCAAAAAGGTGTCCTTTTTTCACATTCCTTTGGGCCCAATCTATGACTTGCCTGCCTCTGAATCTCTCTCAATTGTTTTAAAAAAATTTTTTCCCTTTTAATAAGCTTATTTTAAAAAAAATTTTTTTTAAGTTTCTTTTTTATTGGATGACAAAATAGTTTGTTTTTGATTTTAACCCACTACTACTGTTTTTTTTTAAATTAATCTTTTTTCATAGACGGCCATAAAAATTTAGGTATATGAGTCCTTTTGGTTTGACTTTGGGGGGGGTTTTTATCCTGGTTTTAAATAAAATTTTGGAACTTGATTGGGTTTTTTTCCAGTATGGGAAAAAAAACTTTTTTCCCCCTTTAAAAGCATGTAAATGCCAATAACGGTTTACCAAAATTATTAATAAGCAATAGAACAGGCATTAAAAAAAATACACAACGTATCTCTTTTATTTACCCCAAAAATTAAAGCTTAAGGGTAGGCAAAAGGTGATAAAATTCGAAGTAGTTAGGTGGGGTACCCTCCTGCCACCCCCACCCACACATAAATAAAATACATGATGCTTAAAGCTCCAGTGATAACTCATAAAAGTACCTTCTTAACTTAAAATATTTGAGTCTTAAAGGGTGAAAAGTTTTTTGTAGAAGGGGTGTGGTAGTTGATATGGGAAAGGGGCCGCCTGGCCCCCCACCCCTATTAAACAAACGAGAGCATAGGTTATGGTTCATAAACTTCTACAAAGATCTTACTTTGTTACAAGTTGTTCCACAGTGGTACATAGTAAATAAACCACCTTCCTTTCTCATGTAATTTTTAAAGGAAGATGCTGAAAAATTTTATTCAAATTATTATATCATAATAAAAAAGAAACTCTAAACCCACAAGGGCTAATTGCATTAAGGAAGGGCATAAGAAAGGAAATTATCTACAGTTATCCCAAAGGGGGTTGACTAAGAAAAGAATTCTTACCCTCCCCGTAACAAATCTGTTTTTCGTCATTTTTATTTTGGGGGTTATGCATAATCTTTATATGATTTTAAAGGTTTTTTGTAAATTTTGAAGAAAACATCATAAAGGTTTAAATGAAAATGTTAATTAACTAAAAAAAGACTTTTAATGTGCCCAAAAAGATATTATTACAAAAATTTTTCTTTGGTAACAAAAAAAGGCCAAACCGTGACTGAACGATACACAAAAAACCCGCCCAAAAAGAAAAAGAAAGGGGGGCGACGTTTCGGCCGATTGGGGACCATTGACAAAGCATGGATTTTGTCAATGGTCCAAGTCGGACCGAAATCGTCGAATTTCTCTTTTATGTTCAGGTTTTATTTGTGTAATTTTTGGTGTCCGATTAGAGGATTTAATGTGCCCGCATTAATTGGTAAGAATTTAGGTCATTCAAAAGAAATTATAGGATTTAATCGTGAATGCTGGAAAGCAAAAATCTAATGGGGGGAAGGAGGAGGGGTAATGTCCTCAAAAGGGTTTGGAGGGGGGAAAGGGGTTTTTGGGAAGGGTTGGGACTTTTCAAAGCTGCTTGACTTTAAAATGGAGTAATGAAAATGGGTAATTTGGGATGTGATGCTTCTAAACTGTTTATTTGAGCACCCTGAAAAAACGGATAATGTAATTTGGGGGAAAAGTGTTGAATAAATAAAAAGTTTTTTTTTTTTTGGGATTTTTTTTTTTTTTTTTTGGGGGTCCCCCCCTGCCTCGTGGGAGACACCGACTTGTTGAAAAAAAAAAATAAATCAGAAATTTAACCTTAAAATTTTGGAAAAATTTCCATACAAAATAGATGTGCTCATGGGAATTAAAAAAACTGGGTGGGGCGTCCGTTTTTGAAAAGCCCCGCTTGCGAAGAAAATTTTGGGTCAAATTTGAAATTGCCAAATTAATGGAACACCTAAGGCGAAACGCCGTAAAGCGGGCCCCACGTACCCATTATACTGGAAGGGTTTTTCTAGTCGAGACTTTTTTAGGATCATGCATATACAAGTTTTTTTAATTTCTGGTATTTGACTTTTTCATGAAAAAAATAGGTGCTTTATACAAAGAAGGGTAAAGGGGTTGGTATATTTTACACATATAATACATACTTGTTTTTATGCTTCTTTTGTTATTGGATAGAGATATACTTGTTTTGTGATGTTTTGATCTCTACTAGCTACTTCTGATATTTTTTAGTTGCCTTTTTTTAATAAGATTCATTTGACATTATTAAAAATAGAATTTTTATTCAGGTCCCCGGTCTTTTTCGGGTAGGGTTTTCCCGAATTTGAATGGTAAGTTTTAGTAAGGGTGTACAAAAAG